ATTAACACAGAGACCCACAACTGGTCAACTTTCAGATAACAAAAGGCTGCAGAGTGCTTGACCCTAAATGGGACACTATATCACACCCTCTCATCCCAAGGTTCAGGTATCATTGCAGTAACAGGGGACAGAAAGATTTTAAGAGCCAGAGGTAGTAGATGAATAAAATGAAAATGTGCTTTCCAGAACCAACAGGAAAGTTGCATATATGAGCCCACAGTACTTGTGACGACAGCATGTGTCAAAGACTTAGACAAACCCAAGTCAGTCGATATTCTGTTATGGAGTGGGAAGGTGGACTAGAAGCCCCAGCCTTAGTAAAGGAATTATTAGCAATTGATAGCTTCTGGAAGAGAGATACTCAGTTTTCTTTAAAAGTGTGACACGAGGTTAGTTGATCAGGCTCTAGAGGGTGGACACACACCCAAGAGCATTTGGGGAAACACAAATGATACTAGATAGGCCTTTGTTGCTATGATTCTTTCTGGGGGAGATGTAAAGAGCATCTACACCTTCCTCCCTTGGTTCTAAGGACAAACTGAAGTATGAGTTCCACAAAGTACACCCCACAGAACCAATAAATTTGTTGGTCTTACTTACAGGGCAATGAGTAAGGGGTTACTTACAGGACTGTGGGTATTTCCCCTTAAGGCCACACCAGAAAAATCTTCATCCAAACACGGATGATGGCTTCCCCATAGCTGCATATATTCAACCCACCTACCCCCATAGTCTTTCCCAGCCTATATACTCTAGTCCTCCCTCAGGACACATACAATTAGAGTGAAATTACCCACCATGGGTTAGGAGGTGTGGCTGGACAGTCAGGCAAGTGTCCCATGACTCTCCCTGCCCCTCTTTCTATGTCTGTGTGGGGATGTTAGCAGTCAGCAATCCCAGCTGTGATTCTCTTTTGCAAACAGGCACAGCTGAACTCAGGAAGATAGCATCTGTCAGACTCAGAGGACAGTCCTATATAACAGCCTTAAAAAATAAAAAAAATAAAGAAATGAAGTGAGGAGAGGGTAGGGGATGGGCTTGGATCTGAGAGGAGATGGGGCAGGAGGGTCTGAATATGATTAAAATACATTATATGAAATTCTCAAAAAAATCAATAAAAATATTATTTTTAAAAGAATAAGTATATATATTTTAGTCTTTATTTTATTGTTTGTAGATGTTTTACTTTTTAACAATTTCATACATGAACACCATATTTATGTTATAGAAGAACTGGTTCTTATGTAAGCCAACATACAGAGCAGAGGTGTCATTCTGCCTGGAGTTGTTGACGTTTATATCTGGGAGAAAACATTGCTGCTACACCAAACTAGAACAAGCAGCACCATGTCTTTACTTTGGGAATTCAAGAAATATTAGTATTTGCATGATATAACCTGTATCAATTCAATGATAACAAGAACAAAGGAGATGCTGATTCCCTAGAAATAAAGCTTGCATTATACCACTATGTACAGAACCTCATACAAATGATCAATGCCAACAGCAAGGAATGGTTAAAGACTTTTGGAACTCAGCTATCGCCTCGGGATCAAGAACAGGGACACAGACCTCGGTATTAGGAATTAATATGACAAATATGGAGAATGGTTGGGAAGATGGTGATAATGGAAGATAGTAAGATTTTCTCAGAGAGTTAAGAAGCCAAATTAATGGGGTTGGAATCTGGGCTTTATTACTATCCTGACCTAGGTAATAATTAAATACAATCTAAAGGAGTTTAATTTTCATGCATTCCTGTCCTTCATATGTATTAGACAATAGAGAAAGTTCAGTCATAGAAGTCTGATCCATGCCAGTAGTGTGCTCATTCCTCAGAGGGCTTGTTTACAGGAGTCAGGATACATGGACAGACTGCCAGCTGGGAACCTTACCGAACTGTCTTTAAAGGCCTCTTATAATTTCTTTCCTTCTTTTTTATTGAATTTTTGAAATTTTCATACAATATATTTTGGTCATTTTAGACCCCCTCCTCTACCCGCCCCCCAAGTTAGTCTTCTTTAAGGGTGTGATGCTGGATGGGTTAACAAAGCTCCAGTGAATGAACACCAAAGTGTAGTGGTCCCATGGTCAAAGACTAATCAGTCTCTCCTATAGGACTCTGGGAGAACTGGCCCTGGATAACTACTATCTTTAATGAATTACTGCAGGACCTGAGCTCCTCTGGGATGCAGAGCCTCTGAAACATAAGATGAATGTAAAGAGAGGTATATAAAGGGTGGTACAGACATAGGGGATGAAAACAGAGCTGGTTACTTCCTGTGCCTATAGTGAATAAGGGAGAACTGGATCTTTTGTCAAAGTCTGGAAGTCACTTCAACCACTCTGGATAAATTATCGAGAAAATGTGCCATTCCTTTGATGTCCTTCCAACTGGAGGCTCTTGAATTTCCAGACTGGGTGTTCTGCAGGACAGATTCTTGGGTATGATAATCTGCATATTTGCCATCTCTCTGATGCACAAGTCCTTGTCATGTAGTCAACATTAGCAAAAGTTTCAGTAATTACTAAATTGCTATTACTAAATCATTACTAAATTAAAATTACTTCTTGTGCAATTATACTCCCCAAGTCATATTTCAACATAAAAATAGACCTGTGAAGTTGGAATCAATTTTGTCTGTTTGGGTTTTATAACTCACTGTGTATCCAACAGCTGACCTTGACTCGTGGCCATCTCCAACCTCAGCCTTCCAAATGATGCAGATCTGTACCATCATACATGCCCCAATTATGCAGTTCTTCAGTTCTGTTTTCAATCTTTCTCTCTCACTTCTCTTCTTTCTTTCTTTCT